CCACACTTGCGGTCATTCAGCCAACCCTCTCACCCCCTCGTTCTAGACTCCTCTATCAATCAATGTCCATGACTGTTAGTACTGCCAGACCTGATGGTTGATGATGGAGGTGGCCATGGAATATTGGCTTATGCAGGTGTCACTTTCATACTAGCCCCAATGTGTGTCCGCCCAACATCCCGCCTTCTGTCATCAAGCAACCACCATCAACCCCAGATGCCCCTCTTTTTGATCCGTAGTTCGGTCTGTTATTAAATGGGTGGCCAGATCTCTTTGTCTCCGCGTTCAGGTAAAGCTTCTCGTAACCAGGACGGGACCCAACTCTTGGACATGTTGGAAGTGCCACATGTGTGTCGGCGGCGTATCTCATAAGGCTGCGACCGATCGGATGCTTTGGTTGAGCTGTCCCTGTGCGCCCCTGATGCCTTGAAATATCAGCTGGAGACGGTGGTCCTGAGCAAATCCGAATCCTTTCCGTATCATGGTCACGGCCGTTCCATCTGTTGAAGCACGCGCACCGCCTCTTCTCATGGTCGAACCCCTGTCCACGCCAGCCAACGGTTACATTCTGCAACGACCTCACCTTGCTAGCGATAGCTTGTCTCTGTCCTCACCTGTGGCCATCTGAAGATGATATCGGCGAAATAAAAACCTGCGGTGTCTTTGTTTGTACTGTGAAATGAATCGATGGATGCACGTACGTTTTGGGCATCTTGCTTGATGATCGGCGAATGATGTCGACATCCCCGACATCTTGGCGTTCATCAACCCACCTCCGCTCCGCCCGGTCCGCAAACAAAAAACGCTTCTCCAGACCTTCTCTCATCACCGTCATACAAAACCTCGCGACCGCCCTCGAGGTCTCGCTGGTGGGGTTGGAGGGCTGAAAAGCAACTGAAAAGAGTCGAGAACACAGCAGCATTTTCGGCCCAACAGCTTGACACGATTTTGTGCAGACAGATCGCGAATCGCCAAACCATCTGATGTCGACACCAATACCGATTTCCCGAATGGGCGAGATTTGAGCCCAGCCCAGGATCGTTCGTTGGAAAACCCCGTTGCCCCACAATTCAAACTTCCTGCCATGTGCATGCCGAATTGCAATCGTCTTGTCTCGTGGAGCTCAGCCCAAACAGCTTCATCATCAACAACATGGGATCATAGAAACATCGGCTGTCCGAATTTTCCTGCTGTTTCAGAGATCAAACTTGGGAAGGGGGAGTGGCTCTCATCTTGGCGGTTGCAGCTGTCCAAAATCCGTTCAAACCGTTCGGGGAGTGGGGGCAGTCCTATATCACAGCATAATAAGATCAGAGTCACCCACCAAAACGCTGCCATGTGCCTTTGACCGCTCCCTTATCAAAACCCTCTCTGTCTTGTTAGCATATCCTTTGGCCTGGCTGATGAGCCTTACTGTTGGCACTGCCGCCGCCGTCCGGTCCCAGATGGTGTTCCCTGCAGACGCCCCCAGGTCTGAGGTATCACGACAGGTTTCCCGGGCTTCGTCACGGGCGCACGAGGATAGAGTAGCGCACAAGCCTAGGTTACGTGTGTCATCCAGCTTGCGAGGTCTTACTCTCCCCCAGGTCCTAATATGACAGCGCAGGCCCCCTGGCTGACATCAGGAGGCTGTGGCGTCTGGTCTGGTGTCGGCGGGAATATTGTGTCAGCAGCCCCAAAGGTAGAGAGAGATGGTAGATCAAGAATTGTTTCTACAGTGGTCAGCACAGACGTAAAGCGCGTCCTCGTACCCAGCTGGTAATGGTGGTCTTGTCGAACGACAACGGAGAGAGATGAGATGAGTGGTCGGGATTTGAGGAATGAGGCTTTCCTCGGCCAGCCCCCAGTGCGACCCCGAACCATCACGCACTGTCCTGCTAGTGGCGAACGGGCGACGGGGAGCAATCTTGGCTTCCTTTCTTGCCGGGGGCTACCGTCCTAATTAACAACCGAGAGCGGTTGCAAAGAAAGGATCAAAATGTCCCGCTGTTGCATGATGACAGAACACCTTCCAAGGCATTGTTAGGTCTCGATCTGTTGCTCTTATTTCTGCGAAGCAAAATGTTTGATGTCTCCGACTGTTTGTGTTGTCGAAATAGACACCATATCTCTCCTGCCGACCGTCGATCTCTTCTCAACACGACACCAAATCACCTGCCCCCCCCCCCAGAATGATATTCTGCCGCCCTTGCCATGGCTGCAAAGGGGACAGACAGATAGGGAGCGGGGCCACATCTGTGGAGAAGCCCAAATGATGTCTGGCCTTCGACCTCTTCTTGTGTTGATGCGGTGACCTGCGTGGTCGGACAGCCGATCATCGCGGAGGTCAAATACCGGGAAGCCAGCAACTCGAGATCTTGGGACTATAATTTTTCAACATCGGGACAGCAAGGGCGCACTGGCTACCTGTATTCACCTAGTGAGTAACCTTGTCGATTCGGCATGGAAAAAGCCAGGAGTCAACAAAGGGGATTCCGTTGTTTGGTGGGTACGAAGGACGGAGTTAGCAGTCCATTTTGTATCCCCTTCCACCCTATCCGCTTCGGCCAGCCATCGGCCTCATTAGGGTTTATCCCTTGATCTGGATATCACTAGACGAACGAAGCAGCGGTCAGTGCAGACATAAGCTTCAACCGCCAGAATGCAGTGCTCAGTGTTTGGGCTTGGGGCATCAATGTGTCGCCTGCTCGTAGGAGTGCTACCTTGGCGCGTGTCCTGGGTCGTCATTGGCGCTTTCGAAGCCGCCGCCTCGCTGTTGTGTGCCCTAACTCCATGTTCGAGGCCACGGGCGCGAGATAGTAGCACATTTTCGAGCTTATTGTTCTCTGTTTCCTTCGGAAGTGTTTCAGGTGGCCAGATCGTAGCTTTTGATGTTGACAGCTTGATCGGCCGGTCACGTTATGAGGTGAAGATTGCCGTGTCACCTGCGGCGCTGAGGAAACCAAGCCGGATGTGGGGATGGAAAGGAGTCGGGCATGGGCCGGAGCTTGATGACGATGGGGTCCCAGGGTGATGTGCCAGGCTGGTGAGAGTAAAGGATCAGACAATTCAAGCTCCCTGCTGTTTCCTGTTGAGCGACTTGGTGCCGTTGTGTTGTGTCGTCTCCGGCGGCTGCGAGTTCTGTGACAGCTGTTCCTATCTCCCATCCTCGAAAGGTGGGAGCTGGAGGTCGGTGGGAGGTCAGCCGGAGGTTTCTGGTACGGGACAAGTGGGGCTTCGACGCCAATTTTCTTTGGGGAGGAGGGGCGTTCCCAAGTTCAAGGGACTTTGATCCCGAATTCTTGGCAAGAGCAGGGGTTAGAGATGGAACCACCCGCCTCCTCAAAAAGGTGGGGCTCCTTCCCCTGCTGGATCTTTTTCCGCCCAAACGGCTGGGAAGAACCGACGTCGAGCGTGACTTCTTTAACAAGGCCAGGCAACAGTGGCCCTGGTGAAATCATCATGACCTTGGAAAAAGGCTTTTGTATCTATCAAATCATGAGTAATAATTCTTGCTGTGTTGTTTGAACCACAATTTTGCTGCACTTTCTTGTTATTTGTGCTGTTTGACAGGGGATGACTTGCTTGCATCAACATCTGGAGTCCCTCTTTCCCCCAGATCGTATTCTTTTTCTAGCATTTTTGGGTCTTGGGTAAGTAGAAATCTTCCATTCTCAACATGATGAACGTGAAAGCTGATAGCTACGTACAGAGTTGATGTACCAGCACCCTCTCATGAGATTGGATGAAGCTTGGAACTTACCCTTCAAGAAACAATAACAACTCAACGTCTAAAGTGTCATTTCACCGGCACTTGTCTCAACATGGGCATCTTGGGACATGGTCTTTGGAGATGTTAGCTCGGAGATATCGCAGACCCAAAAGCCCCAGTTCAAGGTCGCGAGTCTCATTGTTGCAACAATTCAAATGTCAAGATATAGCGGGATCTGAAATGCCCTGACTACTGAATTCGTTCTAGGCTGGTCCTGAAGGGTCCTAGGGGCTTGACAACGACAACAACAAAAACCCCGCAGTCGCTGTCTGTGCCGCACAGAAAAGGAATCGAACGAGAGACATTTCACATGTGCCGTGGTAACACAAGGCCTCATCTTCGACTCGAATGACTGGCAAATATGGAGTATGGCGCCCCTATGTCTCACTCGCTGACCATAGAAATCGCGGCAGCTCGAGATCTGGCAATCAGTGACACCAAAGAGAGAATACCGTCTCGAGGGACCAAAGGACTGTTGTTTTCTCACCTCGTGGAAAGGATACTTCTGCACGTCTCTTTGCGCCGTGCAGCGACCACCAGCAGCAAGGCGTATGCAGCTGGTTGTCGGCCTCTCGGCTGCCCATTCTTCCCCTTGCACGACATGCAGCCAGCCAAACATGTTCTGTGGTTTTTGCCCCGCATCCGCAACAGCAGTCAGTGGTCGAGTGGGCACGTTGATGCGTGTCACCGTCCGGTCTGTCGCCTACAACACCACCTCAGGTCAACTGACCAGTCACCTTTTTGTCTGTCGACCGAGCGGTCACGGCCGGCTTGTACGTGGATATGTGTGTGTTTGACAGAGGCAGAAAGCAGCAAGCTACCCGTCTTCCGGTTCCCGCTTCCCGTCAATCTGCCCTCTCTCATCCTTCCATAGCCCCGTATCGGGTGTGAAGACCTTTTGGCATGGCCAATTTTGCCGCTTCCCCTATGACTTGTACATACAGGCAACCGGTGTGGCTGCCTGAGTGCTGAGTGTGTGCCACACTAGCAGGTAGCTGATGCCTTTTCGGTTGCTTCCCAATTCTCTTCGGCTCTTATCAGGGCGGCCCCCGTCCTCTTTGTCTCTGCGTACATCGGACCTCCTTCTTGACCTTACCTTTTCGTTGTCTAGTCAGTTGTTTTCTGTCGACCGGTGATTTTGCTGCCCGCTACTCCAACATCTCCGACTATACCGTGTGTGTGCAAAGGTGCTGTGCTTTATATCGTCGCATCACGTCAGATCGGTCCCCATCACATAGCAATAGGCACCATGGCTGGGGCGGCTAGCGCCTCCAACATAGACGCAGCCGCAGAGCACAGCGGAAGTGGGAACGGCAGTGGTAGCAGAAGCCCCAACGCTGTCGCAAGGCCCAGTGTGATTAGCAATGGCGAGGGTAGTTCCTCTTCGCCTGTCACCGGAGCAGAATTAACATCGGGCTCCGGCCCGGGGTCTCGGTCGGCATCGGCATCGGTGCCGGGATCTGGATCAGTTCGGACCCTAGAGGACGTCATGAAAGAGCCATCCACCAGTGTTCCTGATGTTGTTGTCCTAAACGCTGTGCCCGAACCTCGTCTGCGTCGGGACACACTGGACCCGAAAGAAGACCTCTGGATGTCCACGGCAGATGGGTAAGAATTTCATACATGATACGCCCCCACACTCGTGGGTGCTTTCTTCTGTTCTGAGTGATGTCAGATAGTAGTCTAACACAAATGCGCATAGTCGATATAGCTCACCTATCATCCCCTTGAAAGTTGGCTCATCGCCGCACATAGAGACCTTCTACGTTAGTATCAGCACCCAATACTTCCCACTCGAGTCCTTCTTGATGCTGATGAAACCTCACAGGTGCACAAGCACATCCTGATCAAGTATGAGTACTTTGAAAAGGCACTGTGCGGACCTTTCAAGGAGTCTGAGACCCAGTCTATCGAGCTCCCGGAGGAAGACCCAGCCATCTTCCACTTCCTGGTGTCATACTTCTACGAAGGGCGATATGACCCCATCAAGCCGCTAGCCGCCGTGTTGAGTATGTCATCAATGTCATATCCTATCCCTTCTCTCAACTGAAAAATTACCGCCATCCTGACACGATGCCAGTTGCCGACCAACCCAAAGGCAAAGACCCCGAACATGAAATCTCCCACCCGGCCACCACTTCCGCCAACCTCAACACCGGCGCCGACTCGGACTCGGACCGCTCCCTCTCCTCCCTCGAATCAGACGTCAGCACCATCTCCCGCCGCCGCCGCGACCGCCGCATCCGCCGAGCCGAACGCCAGTACGAACGCCTCCGTCAAAAACACCCCGGCCACCACCGCACAAACTGCCCCTGCCCCTCCTGCAGCAACGTCCAAACCGGCCCCGCATGCTGGTCCTGCCGAGCACCCCGTATGCCACCCCCCCCTCACCCTCCCCCAGGCGCCATCCACCCCAACGTCCTTCTCATGAACATGAACGGCGTCCCCGGCCCAGGCCGACCACCACCACCACCACCACCACCAGGACACCCAGCCCACCACCGCCGCCGCAACGCCAACCGTCGTGGTCCCCATCCCCCTCCTCCCCCTCCACCACCACCCCC